CAAACGTAATAATCGGCTAACTAATCGATTTAGAAAATGATCGTTAGCTGCAGCTCTACATTCCTCATGGTACAGTTGGTGCTCTTCCCTTCTAGACTGTAAGATTGTTATATAATTGTCACTCCGGTTGCTGCCGATATCCTTAAAAACCTGTCTGTGATCTATGTCTGGTTCCTCTTCTATACTGTTTATTAATAACTATCTGTCACTATGATTTGTCTTGTGCGCACACTCATTTGGTTAAATAAAGATAACGGAATAAAAAAAAAAAGATATATAGATCATTCATAAACAATAAATACAATGTATTGATCTGACTTACTTGAGTCTTTTTGCTAGGTTGACTTCCTTGATGGCTTCCAGCAGTTTAAGGGTGACGTTCAGGGCTTCTTCCTTTGTGTAGTGCCGGATCAGGAGACCCGCGACATCCAGGGGTTTGTGCCCTCCTGCTCTGCCAGGGAAATTTTTGTGTACGGCTTAAGAATTTCTTCATCGTTCAAATACTCTTTAAAACTTTGTTCTCTCATTTCTTTAAGAAAGGACAGGATCAGGTCCCTGCAGCTGCCGCTTGTAAGCTCCATTATGAGGTATCAGGACTCGAAGCGGGAAGATCGGCGCCGTCCTTTCACTTTCTATTTCCTTGTTCACATTGTGCTCGGAAGAAATGTTATTTCCTGCAGTCAAACGTTTTGCTTTAAACTGAATCTACTTCCTGATTGGGTCCAGCTACCGTTCTGCTATGTGTTTGCTATAAATTGCTGCTTTGGTTGGTATGTCCCTATGGGGACCCCAGTGAAATCCATGTGAACAGCACAGGACAGAGCAATACTTGTTCCATTATTCCCACCTCTTCCTCTCCTATCTCTTCTTCTCCCACCTCTCCCTCTCCCCCTCTCCCACCCCTCACTCTCCTCTCTCTACCCCTCTCTCTGACCCCCCCCCCCCCCCCCTCCCCCCCCCCCTCCTCTCCCCCTCCCCCCCCTCTATCTCCTCCCTCTCATCCTCTCCCTCTCCTCTCTCTCTCCCCCACCCTTCCAACTCTCTCTTCCAGCCCTCCCTCTCCTCCCTTTATCTCACACCCCTCTCTCCTCCCTCTCCTGTCCCCCTCTCCCACCCCTCCATCTCCTCTCCCACTCCCTCTCCCACTAAGAGCCCGTGGAGCGCGCTTCGAAAACGAATCCCCTGTGAACAAAAAAAAGTGAATCGTGAAATCACAAGACGCAAAAACGTGCACAAGGGTGCTTGGCCCTTCAATAAAAAAGGGGCCTCTACTTCCCGACCCCCCGGGGCGCAAAGGCTCCTGACAGGGGTTGAGATACTATGGTCCACCTACCCGAAGGCCAGCAGACCCTGATCCTTTGGGCACCTGCCAAAACAGGTTCCCAATTAGTACTGGGTAGGGGGCTCTCCCGAAGAGAGACCCCCTGGATGGGAGGAGACAGAGAACCCTTTATAAGGGCACAGAATCTCCTACCCACATGGGGAATGGGCCCCCTCCCTCCGCAATCTGTGGGTCAAAATTTAAAAAATAAAAACGTGCCAATCGTGCATGAGCTGCAATAAATAAATAAAGAGTGCCAGTGCACCACGCTGACAGGCCCTAGGGGCCGGAGTGCAAAAATATTGCCCCGGACTAGCCATAAGGCCTGTCCAAGAGGCGTTGTGCAAAGCAAATGCAATCTGTACAATAAGCTTGTATTCTGCAAACACAAGGCCGCTACAACTATGCACAGGTAGAATGAGAGCTGCCGATAGTCTCAGGTGTGGAACTGGATGGGGTGAACTCAGCACAGGGAGACGGGTGTGTGCATGTTTTGGCGGATCTCTTCCCTGTGAAATGGAAAGAAGAAAAAGTTTAGTCTACCATCATCACAATAACGAAACTAAAATTTAGGACTGGCTTTGTACTCAACCCGTGCGGCGTGCATGGCCGTATCGGGCCGTTCCCAAGAAGGACAGGTGCTGCGTGTGATTGTACGCAGCAGCCTGTTCTCCTCTATGCGAGTCCAAGCACGGACACCCGCAAGGATGTGCTTGTCCTTAAATTCAAAGAAAGTGTCATGGATGGTACTCATCTGTATTGCTGCAATAGTGCACTGATATGGCTACAATCATCAACATTTTCAGAAAACCAAAACTCTCAATGTTGCTCATCTCTAGTCTCAGATGCCACAACCTCCCTCTTCCAATCCCCCGTGCACTGCAGCTGCATACATACGCAAACTCAAGTGCCTCATCCTCAAAGTTCTTGGCTTTTAGGACCATATAGGTGACCCTCAGGGCCTCCTGCTCCGTGTAGTGACTGATGGATCACTAAGGTAATCCTTAAACTCCTTGAATTGCTCGACCACCAGGCGTTTGAGAGCAATAAGATCGAGAGTCCTGGCGCAATGTATACAGATGTATACAGTTGTATACAGATTTTTCTGTTTCCAGTCATTGCTTCTTGGTGTCCCCTCCCTTTCCTTTGCCTCTTACCCTCATTATTTTTTTCTCTCTCTCTGCAGAAAAATATGTCTGTTTCCTGTCTCGGAGGTGTGATATCAGAGTGTTCATCGTAAGCTTACTTTGTATGCAGTCACTGTAAGGCAATGTTGCCAGTTACTTGTAAAATTATATCCAGAGGTGTAACTACAAATCACGGGACCACTAAACTAACTCTCTCTGTAGTGTTGTTGATCTTAAAGGAGAACTATGGGGTCAGTGTTTTTCCCCATAGTTCTCCTTAGGGTAACGGGAGGACACAAACTAGCGTCCTCCTGTCACCTTAAGCTCAGTATACCGCGAGCTGTAGCTGAGACGCCGCAGCTGAAGCGGATCCCGACAATTATGTCTGGATCCGCCCAGCTGCGTGAGTGACAGCTGGCTCTGCCTATCTAGAGGCAGAGCCAGCTGTACCCGCCCCCTCCCCCGTCCGTTCCGCCAGTCAGCGCTGGAGGATCAGAGTAGGGAGGGGGGAATCCAGCCCCTCCCCTGTCATGGCTCTCTGCCGTGATAGGATAGAGAAGTGAGCGAACGCCGGTATGTGTTTCGCTCACTTCCCGATCTACTGAGCCGACCTGTGACAGTCTCATTGTCACAGGTCGGCTAGAACTATGAGGATGTGTGAAAAGCACTCACCTCATAGTTCTCCTTTAAAATAGAATTAAACCTTCTTTTTTTACATATACAATATCTATTGCTAGCAAGCAGTAGATATATGAAAAAACATTTAAAAAAATTAAAAAGTTACCAAACAGTTTATTACGTACCTGCGTCTCCGCCGCTCGCTCTCGTCCAAAGATCTGAAGATTCTCGAGCGGCCATGAAGGATCATGGGGTGGGCGCATGCGCATTACAGATCTTTGGCCTGGAGAAGGGGAGAGACACAGTGTAAGTCAATGCATGCAGGCGGGAGCGTGCACTGGCACAGACTCCGTGGGACACAGAAAACACAGCAGTCAGCGTTGGATCAGAGACCAGCACTAGCGCTGGAGGGACTGCTAAAAACTACTGGAAAGAAGAAGACGATCGGATCAAGAGGCATCATTTTGAGGTAAGTCTTTAAAGCAGCATGGGGGGGGGAGTGTGTATTAAGGATTGGCAACAGGAGAGGTGTCAGCATAGTCAGTATACTACTAGGGGGCACTGCTGGGGGGGAAAGTTATAATAACACTAATAATATCTAGAATTATATTTTATATTATAAACAAGGGTTTTAGGCCAGGGCGATCCGTGACCTTGCGGCCATCGAGCATGATACCGTGTGGATTGCCATGCGGCCACGGAGCTGCCCACCACTGCCCATCGCGCTGGCGGTGCCATTATTTTGATTCTGCCCATGCAACCAAAAAAGGTAAATTTCTGCGATTGCCGCTTGGATGTCAAGCTAGCTTGTGAGTGTGCCAGGAAAACTTTTTGCTGTTTTACTGTTTAAAGCCCATTCCATGTGCACCTTACTGTAAAGCTGGTGACCAATTGATGAGTGCATTTGTCATTTGTTTTGCTTGACTGATTTGGTGCAGTGATGCATGGGGGGTCTCAGCTGCCATTGGGATGTGCGGGATCCCTTGTGCGTCTCTGTGCCTTTAAGGGAGGTTGGGCTTCCTCCTGAGAAACCTGCACCCAATTTTATCTTCTGCCCCATGTGCTCCAAGATGGAGACTCTCATAGTTTAGAGTTAGGACCGCACTATAGGAGGTGCCTTGGCGCGGCAGTGCGGCTTTCACATTGTCTGCAGAAGACGTGTATCCAAGCCTCTGTTTTTAACCCTAGTGGTGAGACAAGTTTTTTTTACATGCTGGCTTGTGAGTTTGCCAGGAAAACGTTTTGCTGCCGCTTGGATGTAACCCCATTGATATCAATGGCTGTGTGCAATTGTGCACGATCGTCTGGTCCCGGGATGCACGTCCCGGATCGCCCAGGTCTGCACCGGCCCTTAGTGATATTCATATCTGTTAGCTGGGGAGGCCGTAAAAGGAAACTCCAAATGGCTAGAAGTATGTGGACACCTGACTGTCACACCTAAAAGGAGAAGCAGCAGACTAATGAGCTTACATATCTGTCACTCTCTTCTACGATCAGCATGCTCCTTGCACTGTAACACACGTGAGCTTATCCATCTCCTTTTCTGAGCTCCGCTGTACAAACAACTTCAAGAGACAGATAGCAGATCAAATTCAGATACTTACACTGCTTGCATGTTAGAAATACATTGAATGAATTATTGATTCAGATCTGTATTCATCTGTGTCTTTTATACTTGAATGGAGTTCAGCTCTAAACCAGAACTCTAAGCCACTAAGGTCTATGTCTATATAAAAAAAGATGCATTACACAACCCCTTTACCTCTTTCTAAGAAGCTACAACTTTTTGATGAGCACAAAAAAAAAGTCAATAATGCTTTCATAGAAATGTCTTTACTGGTCGCCATGACAGCTGGCCATGAAATACAAAATTAGGAAGAGTGCAAAGTATCACAGTGAAAGTCAGTCAATCCAACTCGGTTACAGGCTCAGTTTGATCGTTGGTGACCGGTAAGAAAATGATGAGAGTGAAGATGGAGAGGAGATTGTTGAGGACGTAGATGATAGATTCTTCCATTGGATTTCCATAGCACCAGAAGGTCCAGTCACTGGAGGTGGATGAGGGGCTTTCACTGTAAGCTCTCTACTTCCATCATAGCTTGAGCTTCTCGTTGAACCCCTGGGGGGCAGAGCATGGATCTGAAAAAGTAAAGAATGATACTTACTAAACCAAAAGACAGCAGTTAATCCTCTTTGCTTCCAGCCCTTCCCAGACCTGTTCTTGTGCATATTTGCAGGGCTGTATTTCCCACAAGGCCAACCAAGGCCCGGCCTCGGGACAGCAGGGAGTAGAGGGGCAGCAGGGGTGTGGAATTACTATCTCCCGATGCCCGGGACATGCAGTTCCGGGCACTGGGCAGTTAGTTGTTTTCTACATTAAGCCCTGCTCTGGGCAAGCAGAGCCAAATGTACAGCGGGGAAGTCGCCGCTTTGAGATATCTATATCTATAGAGATAGGGGGGCGCATTGAAGAACCTGGCCTTGGGTCAGCAGAGAGAGTAAATCTGCCCCTGCATATTTGCTGTATGGATACCCACCTCTCCAGCGATCACCCAATGCTCCTTGCTCCCTCACAAAATTCCCAGTGCCAGCTGTACTGGAGCCCATAGGGAGTGGTGACATCACCCCACTCTCATGTGACAATGCTTGGACCTTGGGAGATGGGCCGCTAGACCCGAGGACTGCCACAACGAAGGTGGTCACGTGTTGCCCCATTCCTGAAAGCACCAAGAACTTTGCACCAGATAAAGTAAAGGTAAAAGTGTCAGGGGATCAGTGGAGGGGTGAGTGTCAATGGGTCAAGGGGGCTTCTCACAGATGTGGTCACTTTGCCTTCTTTTCAGTGAACCTTAAAGTAGAACTTCAGGAATTTTAAAAACATACCCTTGCAATGGGGCTACCCCCACACTGCAAGGCTTAAGTGCTCATTTTGTCTAGGGGAGTCTAACAAAGCAGATATACTCACCCGATCCTCGGTCCCACCTCCGGTGGTCTAACGACCACTGACCTCAACACGTTTTATGTAGGTCTATAGTGAGGACACCGAGCTAAATTCCATAGTCGGAGTGGAGGGGGAGAGAGGTGAGTGCTGACCACTGTAGGACCAAGAATCTGGTGAGTAATTCTGCTTTATGTGACCCACCCCCTCGACAAAATGAGCACTTAACCCATTGTAGTGTGTGGGTAGCCCCACTGCAAGGGTAAGTTTTTACAATTCCTGGAGTTCTTATTGGAAAATACATTGGGGTTGATTTTTCTAAATGACTGAGGATTTAGAAACGAGAAGGTTCACTTAGGAGTCCAATTTCCTATGCTCCTCATCGCCATCTATGGCCATAGTGCAGAATTACATAATAATACATTCGAATTGAAAAGAAAACACATTTAGAACGTTCATTTTTGTAAATATTTGCACAAAATTATATTTACAGATATTTGCAGTGCGAGTGGCCCTGAGAGTTAATAATAAATAGACCCCTTTGTGAGCTCCTTAGTGAACAAGGTTTACCTGCGCTCAGGGACGGAGTTACTCTCTCTGCTGCCCCAAAGCCAGGTTCCTCAATGCGCCCCCCTGTATGCAGGCTGCATACAAGTGATCTCGGCGACATCGCCAGGATCACTTGTACAAAACAAGCGGCGGCTTCCCTACTGTAAATTTAGCTCTGCTTGCCCAAAGCCGGGCTAAATGTAGAAAACAAATACCCGCCCGGTGCCCCGAACTGCATGTCCCAGGCGTCGGGAGATAGGAATTTTACACCGCTGCTGCCCCGCTATTCCCCGCTGCCCCAAGGCCGGGCCTCGGTTGTCCATGTGGGAAATCCGTCCCTGCCTGCGCTCACTTTAATCATCCGATCACACATGATCAGAAATATGGATGATACATAAATGCAATTTATTGGAGAACTGGCAGACATAAAAAGCAGGATGGAAGGAAACCTAAAACAAAGTAAGGACAATATTCAGCAGGAACAACCCTCTGACCAACCAAGCTGTCACTATCCCCTCATCCTTCTCATGTAAAGGTCCCCATCCCTCATATTTTATGTTATTCTCTGTTATCGCATTCTGACTTACTTGAGTCTTTTTGCCAGGTTGACTTCCTTGATGACTTCCAGCAGTTTAAGGGTGACATTCGGGGCTTCTTCCTTTGTGTAGTGCTGGATCAGGAGACCCGAGACATCCAGGCGGTCTTTGCCCTCCAGCTGCGAATAGGGAATTGGTTTGTACGGCGTAAGAATTTCTTCATCGTTTAAATACTCTTTAAATTCTTTAAAACTTTGTTCTCTCATTTCTTTAAGAATGGACAGGATCAGGTCCTTGCAGCTGCCGCTTGTAAGCGCCATTATGAGGTGTCAGTAATGAAGGCGGAAGATCGGAGCCGTCCTTTCACTTTCTGTTTCCTTGTTCACCTTGTGCTCGGAGCACAGTGCTAAGCAACCTCTGCATTTCAGCTGTTGTGGTGCTACAAGTCCCATGAGGCATTGCAAGGCTCTAGTGGCCACAGGCATGACTCCCAGATGACAGAATCAAACACCGCGCCAGCAGATTTTGGTTCAAGAGAGTATTAATCAATGATGTTCAGGAGTGCAGGGCGATAACGGGGCGGCTCTCACCAGGTTCAGAACAACCTCAGCACTGCAAGACAAGACACAGAGAGCGCCTCCATCGCATAAAAACTTTTTAATAAACTAATAAAAAATGGTATAAAAGTACTCACAAAGGACGAATAAAAACAGGCATAAAAGGGTCAGAACGAAAGTGGCATAAGTGGTGTTCCCTACACCCCTAATTGGTTCTGAGGAAGGAGGCGTGACCTTTGAAACGCGTAAACCACTTCACTACCAGGGAAGACGAACAGCCAGTGGATATGCCACTTTCGTTCTGACCCTTTTATGCCTGTTTTTATTCGTCCTTTGTGAGTACTTTTATACCATTTTTTATTAGTTTATTAAAAAGTTTTTATGCGATGGAGGCGCTCTCTGTGTCTTGTCTTGCATGACTCCCAGATGAATGATGGGATTTGTAATTTCACTACAGCTGGAGTGCCAAGGTTGCCTACCTCTTAGGTAGGGCTTTAATAAGAACATTTCCTGCAGTCAAACATCTTTCTTTAAGCCTACTCAAGCGATCCATCTACCTGCTGATTGGGTCCAGCCCAAAAGCGTGTGCACGGGGTGTGCCTGAGCACACCCTAATTACCCCCGTGCACACTTGGCTGGCGGAACTCCTGTAATCTACAGCCCCCGGACACCCCATGCAGCTGCTCTCGATCGTGCTGCTGCTCTGAGGTGCCTTGCTGCTCCTTAGCCTGGCGGTGCGAGGTTGCATGGTGGGCAGGGTGGTGGGCAAGAGGCAAAGTCCTGCCAAGCTCACCCCGCTCTCCTACAAGCAGCCCCAATGTGCCTGAGAAGATCCTGGGGACCAACGGGAGGTACAAGGGAATCGTCCACAACTGCTGGTGGGCACAAGCTGGAGCTGGTGAACATTGATTATAGAGGTCCCCAATTCAGAAGCAGCTCAGGCAATGTAGCCCCGTGCAGCTGCTGATGTTTCCTCCACATAACAGCCGCACCCTCCTCCCCAGGAAAATACTGAGTAAGAGGCCCGCCAGCCGTATCTCCTTCTCCGGGAATGAATGACACATTATTAGTTATCTTCTAATAAATGGTACATTTTTTGGGGGGGGGGCGGGTGCTGTGTGGGGGGAGGGGGAGGCACTGATGCTATGTGGGGGGAGAGGGAGGCACTAATGCTATGTGGGGCAGAGTGAGGCACTGATGCTTTGTGGAGGGAGAGGGGAGGCACCGGTGCACTGTGGAGGGAGGCACTGATGCTATGTGGGGGGAGAGGGAGGCACTAATGCTATGTGGGGGGAGAGGGAGGCACTGATGCTATGTGGGGGGAG